ACGCAGAAAGTGGCATGTGCTGGCCCTAGAGAGAGGGTGTCCTTGTCGAAGGCTTGAGAGGGCTTGGCCAGAGATAACTCTCGGAGGCCGCCATCGAAGGTAAAAAAATAAAACAATCCAATTGAAGGCCACACGTACAAAAGAGAGCCAGTTCACACTGGGTGTTGGACTTTGATCTTTCATCGGTCACCACTCTGGGTGATCACCTGGAAATCCCCATCTTACCAAGGAGGACCCTTCAGCTCAGCTTCTGAGACGTCCGTGTGTGGCCCTGGCCACTGGGTGAGCCAGGCAAGGCCTGCAGGGCATGGACAGAGTGGGGGCCACTAGTGTCTGTTAGTCATGGTGAAGACAATGACTTCCTGGGACACGAGGAAGAAACCCTGCTCCTCCTTGTACTGGGGGACTGGAGAAGGGCAATCCGGGCTACATCTGGAGAAGGGCCACTGTGATCTTCCCTTTGTATGGGGGTAACAAGGAGTCTAGCTTTCAGCAAGAATATTCTGTGACCTGCTCCCTCACTATTCTCTCTCTCTCCTTTACAGATAGCATTTACCCTGGTGGCATTGTTGGGTCAGTGTTAGGCTGCTAACCACAAGATCGATGGTTCAAACCCACCATCTGCTCTTCTGGAGAAAGAGGAGGCTATCTACTCCCTAAAGATTTGCAGACTAGGAAACCCTATCTACAGTCTCTAAGAGTAGGAATTGACTCAATGACAGTGGGTCAACACCCATATCTACTGTACCTCCATTTCCTTATACATCCCAACACACTTCCATATCCACTACCGCTTACTCTCTGTCCTATCACAAGCACACACACACATCCTCACTTACACACAGACACATGTGCACACTCCTATCTCCTTACTCATTCACACACTCACACCTCAGGCTTGCCCTAGCCACACGTGGAATTTGGAGCCACCTCAGGCTTGCCCTAGCCACACGTGGAATTTGGAGCCACCTCATTCGTGGAGGGCAGTCAGGACATGGAAACACAACTTAGGTGTCCAGCACTAGGAGAGCAGAGGAGCAGGCAGGCCCTTGCGGGTAAGCGGAGCACACACAGGGTGGCAGAAGCAAGGTTGGTCGTCACGCGGCTCGCTCCTGTCACTGCCTCTTTTTCTGTTCCCAGATGGAACCCGATGCTGCCACTTCCCTTCAGTGGTGGGCAGTGAAGCACTTGTTGGGGTGTGGTGGAAGCAGCAGCTTTGTCCGGACGACAGGAAGTCCCTCCTGTGGCACCACCCTTTCTGGAGCTCAAGGGGGGACCCTGCAGCAGGTCTTCCCTGGGCTCCTCGTGTGGCAGTGTTAAGAGGGGCAGAAAACGGCTGGTGGTTTCAGACTGCTGACCTTGTGGTGAGCAGCTCATTGTGTAACCCACTAAGCCACCAGGGCTCCTCTCGTTCCGGAGACAACCTCCTCGTGTTATCAGAAGGCTGGGCCCCAAGGACAGGAGGAATTGCCTGGGCAGGCACCAGGTGGTTCCTGGGTAGGAACCAATGAGGATCTGGGACTGCCGTCTCCTTCTGGGAAGGCTCTGGAGCAAAGCACAGGGGCACGGACCTACCTCCAGGTAGACAACCCAGGGCATGACCAGGGTGGCGACCAGGAGGTCGGCCACAGCCAGGCTGACGATCAGGTAGTTGGTGGTGGTCTGCAGCGCCTTCTCACGGGACACGGCCATGCACACCAGCACGTTGCCGAAGACGATGACGAAGATGAGTAGGGTGAGCAGCATGGCGTAGTAGTTGTAGTGGGGCCCGTCCTCCTTCCCCTCGGACCCATTGAGGGGCCGGCTCCAGTTCTGGCCTCCTACGTCCTCATCATACCAGGACAGGTTCAGAGGATCCATTAGGGCAGTGCAGCCACTGGGTGGCCAGGCTCTGGCCAGGAAGAAAGGACACAGGAGTGAGCGGAGGCGGGGGCACCCCACACAGACTGCAGCCCTCGGGGAGCTCTGGATTTCAAAGCAACTGTTGGTGCAGGCTTTGCATCAAGCACCTCCCCGTTTTTGTTTCGAGCTACTCTCCCATGACTCTGCTCGCAAGTTCTTCCAGAGAATGCAGCAAGTGGTAAGCACGTGCTTTTAAAACGTATACTCCAACAAAGCACCCGAGAAAAGCTGATCCTTCATGCCCACGTTCAATAAACACATAGGGAGGGAGTCCTGTGCCCGTTGTCCAGAAGGCCAGGCAGCTGAGTGTTCCAGCCTCCAGGGGTAGGAGCAGCTACACGTATGCACACCTCCGCGAGTCACTGCGTATCTCGCAGGCAAGGATCTAGGCAGACACGATAGACACGATCCCGCAGCTCACGGTTTAGAGACACAGGAGCCAGCTAATCGGTGGGATCTGTGCTGGTGGCTGGGGTTTGCCGTCAGGTTGATTCCAGCTCACAGCAGCCTTACATGGCCTGTACAACCAGACTGACAGGTCTCTTCCTCCACAGAGAGGCTGGGGGGTTGTACCGCTGGCCCCTGGGTTAGCAGCCAGGCGCGGTTAACCATCATGCCACCCAAAACAACAATAACAACAAATCCATCGCCAGCGAGTCTGTGCCAACCCATAGTGACCCTACATACAGGACGAGGTGAAACTGCCCGTGAGTCTCTGAGACGGTAGCTCTTCATGGGCTTAGGAAGCCTCCGGAGGAGCAGCCCGGGCTCCTTGGACAGCTCTGGTGGCATGGTGGGTTATGCCTTGGGCTGCCAACCGCAGGGTAAGCAATTTGAAGTCACCAGCCCTTCTCAGGGAGAAAGACAAGGCTTTCTCCTCCTGTAAAGAATGACAGTCTCAGAAACTCCCAGGGGCCGTTCTACCCCGTCCTACAGGGTTGCTGAGAGTCGGCATCGGCTGGACGGCAGTGAGTTTGGGGTTGTCTTTTTGAAACGTAAACACATCAGTGCCTTCAAGCTGACTCGGACTCCTAGGGCCCCTGTAGGGCAGAGTAGAGCTGCCTACCGTGGGTTTCCGAGGCTGGTGATCTTTACAAGAGGAGAAAGTCTTTTTTTTTTAAAGCATGGTGCAGCTGGTGGGTTCAACTTGCTGACCTTGCAGCCCAGTGCCTCGCGTGCTACGCCACCAGGGCTGTTTTTCTGTGTGTAAACGGTAGGAAATAGAACAGGTTGGGAGGGGAAAAGCATGTGTCCCAGTTTGTGGATTTGAGGAATGCTTTTGGAGAAAGTGTGGTGTTCAACCGACACCTGATGGGAGGGCAGGAATGGGCAGGCCAACATCGGGAGCCGGGGTGGGGATGAGGAGGACGCAGAAAGTGGCATGTGCTGGCCCTAGAGAGAGGGTGTCCTTGTCGAAGGCTTGAGAGGGCTTGGCCAGAGATAACTCTCGGAGGCCGCCATCAGCCGGGTCGTGAAGGGTCTGTATCAGGGCACTGCGCTGGGGATCTGGGCTTGATCCAGAGGGCAAGAGAAGTGCCGGGTCTAGAGTTGCCTCTCAGAGCCACTTTGCTGACTCCAGTGTGGGGAGGGGAGGCAGGGCGGAGCTCGGAGCTGTTGCCGAAGGAATCCCAGG